GAGGCGGTGGGCAGATGTACCATATGACTCGGGACAAAGCCGTCCGGCCCCGATAGGTATGTGTAACACGAGATGCAGATGGCCAAGAAACGTCTGATGGTGGTCTTTGGGCATGGCCACCACTTGGCTGGCTGCTCGCCCAGGCCTCATTCCCGCTAGCGTAGTACAGGAACGGAGGGCTTGCCAAGCGAGTGCTTAGTGGTTAGGAGCTCGCGATGAAGCTGCTGTGGAACGTCTGCCGATCTTGGGGTATGACTGCATCAAGACGTTGGCGTTTGAACCGTTCCAAGGACACGGGGTTGGATTTGCCAAAGTCCGAACGAGGCGTTCCATCACTCGATAGCCTCCCTTGGCACCGAGCTAGGGGAATGATGAATCTGCTCTCAGACTGACGGTTCCCTCACGGCTGGCACGGCGTTGTTGGAGGGTTGAGAACATGTGAGAAGGGACTCAAGCCCCTCAACTCCTAGACCCCTCAACTTCAGGCCGACGCTATGAGGCGGTCAGGGAGCAGTTGTGCAGATCAATGCATGTTCATGTTGTTTTCACCGACGAGTTGTTGATTGGCACATCATATCTGGGATGCAACCAGTCAGCGCCATGCCAGAGCTAGTCATCCTGAGTGGCCAAGACCCTTGACCCCAAGAGGCTCTGGCAGACGGGAGGTCAGCAACCAACAGAGAGACACGCATTCTCAAACCGAGATGCAGGTAGTGCCACTGGTGCTGAGAAAAGGAGGGGGGTCGTCGTTGGCTGACAAGCGAGTCTGTCTGGCTTGGGACAACCACGATCGATTGTCAAGTTAACCAGATTGGTGATCAGTTCGTTATCCATCCTCAATCATCACCAACGTGCTTGTAATGCGGTCCCTGCGGAATGGAAGCCAATCATGAGCTCCCGCTGACAGACAGGGCGTCTGGACCACTCCAAGCCAACCGACCAAGCAGCAATCAGAATTGCATCTGCGCAATTGCATGATTGGGACATGAGGGTCCAGCTGCGTTCGCGTGTGAGATTCCTTTGCCATGACTGCTAGGGGTTGTTGAAGGGGCCAAGCGGGAACGGGCGGGAGGCTCGAGCTATGGGCGGCTTGGCTTCGCGTACTCGAGCAAATAGCGTCGTAAATGTACAGCAACCAAGAAATGGGGGAGACACGGCAACGTTGGGACCAAACTCATCCTAGCTCGGGTGATCACCCACGCTCCGGGTCCTTGGAGCTGAGTTCCTTGAATCAAGGATTCCAGGGATCCAGGGTTGAGCCAACAACGCCGCACGGCCGCATCCTGTACAGTGGTCAGGAAGCGTCTCGACCAACACGGCTGAGAGAGAGATGCAATAAGAGTTTGGTTAGGAAGAGATCTTCTCCTCGTGACTTGTGGTGTACCTACCAGCAGCCCTGAATTCTCACGTACGAGGCCCTACGTAGCAGAGTCGCCCCATAAGACTCATCGAGATTCCAAGGTCATCCATAATCTGCTCTCAGAGCTCCAGCAATGGATCCATGGCAGAACCGTGTGGCGCTCTCGCGTGGTGGTCATCAGCACTAACAGGCGGCCTGAGCTTCGACGCCAAAGCAAGCTGGAGACGGGATCCAGACTCCGGGGACGAGGGATTGACAGCGGCGCTTGACAGAGAACAAAGTGCGGCAGGGTCTTTGCAACTATTGGGCGGCTAGGTGGTTGCGCGGATGTCGAAAGGGATGGAGGCGAGCTAACTGGCCACGCCTGGTGGGAAAGCCTTTTCTTTTCCGGCCGGGCTCCTCATCGTCGAGAATAAGCATCATCGGACCGCTCTCCGATGAAGCGTCCAATTATCCGTACCCGTTAACGAGACAATAATGAGGGCAAGACAGCTCTGGTCATGGCTGAGGACCCAACAAAGCCAGAGAACGCCGTGGCGCTGGGAGCCAACACCAGCTTGGCCAACCATCAGACTAACATTTTGTGACAAGTCTGGACTCGTTGATTTCGAAGCCGACGGCACCCAGTTGTCGTTGCTTTTTGCTCCCTTCTCATCCCTTGCCCACCAACAAAGGGTTCAACAGTCGAGTCACGCAAGGTAGGGCAACCGTCTCTGCTGCGATCAACATCTGCGTCTATCACCAATCAACTGGCCCGTCCATAAGGCTCTGCGGGCTAGACCTGCCCTGAGGCGCGTGGTGAAGATTCGCCGAGATTGAAACACGGGCGGCGCCATGGCCGGCCGCGGGTAGATCCCAGCCCCGGCATCCAAAGTGCGAACCGGTGTCCCGATTCCCCGAGCCTGACGGGCCCGAGGTTGCCGACCTCTGTCGGGAGCCTCAACCGGCAGCCATTGATGATTGTCGATGAAGCTGTCTTGGTCTTTTGGAAGAAGAGTTTGGAGGATAGGCTGGTCTTGGGACCTCGGTTAAAACGTCTCCACAGACCTTCTTCTCCATCTTCCCCAGACGAGCTTCTGCTTCTCTGATACCCCCTCGGATACCACTGTTGGCAAGCATGCGGTCGTTGTCCTTGTGATGCCGTGCCTCTCAGCATGGCCGAACCCAGCGATCATCGCCCCAGCTGCCCCCCTCCTCAAGGCCTCCCCCGGGGCCTGAGCAATCACCCCTGTACCATACCGCCTGCCCAGGCCAAGTTCATGGGCACCCGGCCGGTGCGAGTGGCATGCTGCTTGGCGTGTATCTATTCATGGCACAGAAGCTGACAGGTTCGGTTCTTCAGGCAAGGCAATGCGAAGCGTTGGGAGTATCGTCAAAGAGGTACGAGATCACCAATTGGGCGAGCTGATGTCTGTAGCTCGGCCTAGTTGCTGGGACGGGAACCCTACCACGCATGGGTCGCTGACACTGGCCCGCTTGAGTTTCTGAAGGATCCGTGGCGCCTCGACAAGGTTGGCTCATCTGTTTCCCATCCACTGTCCGATGTCCGAAGCCCCCCGTTCACTGGTCACAAGCCGGCTCGAGAAGATTGTCGGCAGGTGAGATTTGGTCATCTCAAGTACGTCTGTGAGTGACATACCGTGGAATGGACAGCCTGCATGGGGGAAGAGACGAGAGAAATGGAGAAAGAAGGGGGCTTTTTGATATTTACGTAGGTCGAGACTCAGGTTGGGTTGCAAGGGCAGATCTCCTGAGACCTTCCATCATGCAGCAATCCGCGCCAACTACCTAGCTGGGTACCTCCTGCCTTGCTTGCCCAGCCCAACTCCCCGCCTTGCCTGCATTGAAGATTGGGGTGATTTGCCGGACCTTGTCGCCTAGGCAGGTACTTCCCACGCCTCCAGAACCACACCTCCTGGCCCTCCCCAGGTACCTACCTAGGCAAGCAGCTCATGGAGGTAAGGTAGGTCAGCACAGGAAGGTAGGATGGAGTTATTGGAATTGGCGTTTAAGCGATGTCGACCTATCTACCTTCCCTACCTACGACCTTGGTCGCCTTGCCTTTGCCTACCGACCTTCCTCGGGCAGGTAGGTGGTACCAGGTCAATCAAGCCGGAAGGTAGCTTCAGGCCCAGATGTACCTACCTGGGTACAGCCTGCTCCCACTCTTGTCCGTACCTGACACCCGGCAACGCATCTCTCGGTTGGCAGCTGTGGAAGTGGAAGGCCCAGTTGGCTGTGGCTACTAAGGTAGGTGCGGTGCAGTCAGTACCTTAATAATCAATTCTCCGCCACTGCCATCCGCATCAACCATCGAATCGTACTTGGCCATCTCCTTGTTACTTACTTATCACGACGCCTCCAATCTACACTCTCACCGCGATTTAACCTCTGATCTCAGCTCTTGATTGCGGTCCTCTCTTGGATCTCTATTTGGAATTCTCTGGGGAACTCGATTTTAGCTTCGTATTTGGCTGATTTCTTGAGTGTGTCTTTCTCTAGCTCGTTTCAGCTGTGTGTCCCTTCTTCGACTAGAAACTCTGGCAACGTCGGGTTTAGTTGTACCATCAACGACCTCGACATATTCTCCACCGCTGGGCCTCGAGTCAATCTACAATACCATACCATTTCGCTTCTCTGGAATATACTTTGGCTTTAGAATATTCTCCTCTTTTTTCTCTCCCGCCTCAGCCGCCCCGGCCCTTCGTCATCGAACCAGTTCGTTCTCGACCTCGACCTCGACCTGAGAAGTCCTTTCTCTCTGCGCCGCATCAGCCACCCTGATCTCTCAGTCGTGTATCTCGCCTTCGAGTCCACCGGGTATTGTCGACGGCGCCGCATTCTACTCTCTCGAGAACCCACGGATTAGGTCATTTCTCACCCGTGAACGGATTCGTTTTCGTTCGTGCCCGTTTCCTTTCGCACGAGGCGCCCCGTCTCTTCGCGTTGCCTTCTCTCCGCCTCAGGCTCGGCAGCGAACCAAATCCGGCTCTCTCGTGGGCGTGGATGTGGGTGGGGTGTGAACTTTGGCGACCTCTCTCGCAGTTTTCTCCATCACGACAACCCACGGCACTTCATTTCTTGGTCTCCCTCTCCCATTTCCCTTGGCGCCCTTCATTGCAACTCCAGCTTCACCCACGACTTGTTGGCCACCACTGACGGTTTCGTCCGAGCGAGGGCTTTGACCTCAGTCATTTCATTAGTCTCTTCACACGGATTCGGCCTCGAGAGGCTGCACGCCTTGTCTCTGTTGGTTCACTGCCCTGCCATATCCATCGCGTACTCCCCCGTCACCCGCTGGGTGGACCCATCCGCATTCCTTCTGCCAGCCAGCTCCCTGGAAGTGGTGGGCGACTGGACCTCCCGTCCCTCTTGTCCCCTTTGACTTGGTCGATCCACATACCTCATTGGACGCTGCAGCTTTTGTACGGATACCTGGGCTGTGTAAGTTTATCGACTCGACGCAAGTGATCTAGGCCGCCACTCACCCTGCCCAAGCTGCCTAGCTTTGACAACTGCCGCTCTCCATCCTTTCTCTCGTGCATACTTCTTGATGGCGACCCTCGCCAGTTGAAATTCGACGTCCATGTCCCTCACAGCCGTTGAGACTGCCGCGAAGAGTTCGCGGCGGCCTGATACAATGTCGGAAGCCATGTCAGAAGCCATGTCACGTCCATATGCCACCACAGCCACAAGCTGGTCCGATCCCCATTATGCTCCCCGCGGCTCAGTTCATCAACCACAAATGCAACCACACTACGATCACCAGCTGTCTTCTCCAGCGAGCATGTCAACTGGCGCCCCTGGCAGCCGCCGTCCCTCACAGCTGCAGCCCCCACGACCCGGTCATGGATACCAGTTGACCGATATGTCAACCGCTCCGCAGGTCTCACATCCTCCGCCTCCTCTCAGCGTGCCGTCCCATCACACTTCCAGTGGCACCCTCGACCAGCAAAGGCACTATGAACCCAAGGCGCATCCCCCACCTCATTTTTCTTCCCCTGCCGTTGAAAGACCAGACATGTTACAGGGCCGCCACATGTCACAACTCGTTCGGGTGCCCTCAATCTCAGAAAACCAGCAACCGTTTGGATACACGCAGCGTCCTCCATCAGTCGACATGCGTGCCATTCCGCGCTTCACCGGCCAGCAATTCCTCCCGACGACTGCTCCCATGATCAGCGGCACAAATCCAAATAGTCCCGCCGCCTCACCAACTGAATCGAGGCCAGATCCCATGAGAATATCTGACCTGCTCAGTCCTGGCGCCGGCAGCGGAAGTCGCAGCAGCAGCATCAGCAGCAGTAAACGTCTCGGAGATATTGATGCCAACTACAAGTTGAGGATCCGTCAGCAACCCGTAGCCGCTCGATCATGTGGCTTCGGCGAGAGGGACAGAAGAGTCGTTGATCCTCCCCCAATCGTTCAGCTCATTATTGAAGGACCCAACCTCACTCCAGAAGAGATCAGCAAGCAGCTACGTTACTGTCACTATGTGATGAGCTGCTCAATATACGATGAGAGTGGTGCCCGAGATGCATCTTTCATGCCTGAGGAGTACCGACAACAACGGCGGCTTATGGGTTCATTAGTCGGTGCCCCATTTGTCGGCAAAGATGAGCACGATGAAGAAGGCTGCTTCTTCTGCTTTCCAGACCTCTCCTGCCGCACGCCTGGCTCGTTCCGCCTCAAATTCAGCCTTGTAAAGATTGACCCAGCACGAGCAAGAGAGCTAAGGCACTTCCCTGTCCTCGTCGAGGCTAAAAGCGACGTCTTTACCGTCTATACTGCAAAGGATTTCCCGGGTATGCAGGCCAGTACGAGGCTGACCAAGCGCTTAAAGGAGCAAGGGTGTATCATCTCAATCAAGAAGGGCAACGACAGGTCAAAGAATGCAAGAGGTCACGACGACTCGAGTGATGGCGAGCCAGATGATGGCGAAACGTCCTCTCAAGGCAAGAGACGCCGCCGCTCGGCGCGATAATATATACTCTGGATTTTTCTGGCGTTTGGAAGGGCACAGGGCAAGCACCGGGACATACACGACAAGGAGGGATAAACTGGCTGCGTGGTCACTGACATTGTTTTGCGGGTTTCAAGTATCTTTTTTCAGAATGATGATAGCACTGGCATGCTCGGTATACCCACGACTTTTCTCTGTTTTCATCATGTCTGGTTTGGGGAAACGGCACAGGCATGACCCTGCTATATCGACAAGCAACTGATATACCTTACTATATATATCAAGAACGCTATTTTACACACGCGCGCAACTCGAACTCAGCTAATTCAAGAGAAACAAAGAGAGCGGTTATTCTCAAATCGTCCAACACTTTCTTGCACGCGGGTTAGGGGAAGTCAGTGGATGCGTCAGTGCGAAGGGCTCTCTAAGAGATGCATCATGACAGCGACCTGCATCTCACCACAGAGCCGGTAAAACACGTCCCAGAACAAGTTCTATTCTCTGGCCTCGCTGGTGGAGACATATCGATCGACGCTGTTCATCGCAGGGGAACACTTGCAGGCTGCTTAAGGAGTAGCTCTGTGGATACTCATGCGCGTATGCGGTCCGAGACCTGGCGTTGCTCTCCAGTCTCAGTCAGGGGAAGCTCTCCGGCTATCAGAAGATGACTGACGGGCTAGATCTGCACCTAGGGCGGCCCAGTGGCGAGTCTTTACAGTTGGGTACATGAAATAAGGTGTTGAGGTCACGTCGAGGGACACGATCATGGCCTCTCCCTTGCAGGTCCATGGCTGGATATGGATTCTATGTTTAACCATAATAAGCATGTGCTTGCGCGGAACGTGTGGAAGTATCGAGACACGATCAGTGCCGAGGACTTGCATTTCCGATTCAAGTCTCCATCATCGATTTGGAATGAAGTCTCCAATGGAAGTTTACGATGAAAAAGGTCTGTCTAATACCCGGCATCGAGACATAGAACGCATTTCAGCTGCAAAACTATAACGGGATGGTCAGCACGGTGACAGATACCCCGAGTCTTGCGTTGCGAGGAGCGCCTCGACGCCTTAGCCCACCCCATGAGGTATGAAATGTGCTCCATATTCTGTACCTCACAGCGATATGCATGCCCGATTACGGGTCATAAGCTGGGCAGGGAAATCTATGCCGCTGGTGCGACACATTCGCTACCTATTCTGAGTTCTCAGATCTCTATTCGGGAAGCCGAATCCATGATTCTGGGCTCGCCAATAGCAATCAAATGCAGGCTGTCAAATTGCGACGTCTGCAGAAGTGATAAGTCTCTTTACGCATTGATCCTCATGACATAGGGCCAGCCCGGAGTGGCATGCCCACATGTCTCAGAGCTAGAGGTGTCGCCAGCGGACAAGCGAAGGGTCGCCCACATTGGTCTGAGATCTCGCGGGCAAGCGTCGAATCAACAACATGAAGCGGCCAGGCGACCATTGGGACAACACAAATGAGGGAAGAGGGATGGTCCCGCAGAATGCGAGAGAAGATGGTGCCCTTACCCGTTTCGTGGGCCTTAGCAGGAACTCTCTTCATCAAAGCGTGCTGCCATAACGCGGCTCGACATGATTTGACTACGCTCACATTCCAGTTCCAGTCAACGGCGCTGTGATGCCCGTCTCTCCGCGTGTGGTTTAGGTTCCATATTGGGGTGGAACAACAGAGAGTAACCAGCCAGCTCATCCCTGTCGACGGCTTTGGGCTAACATTGTCGTTGAGGACAATGGATGTGCGACTGACGAGACTAGTTATCTCACTACAGTGAGCGACCCCGTACTAGTGGCTTGGGGAGCATGATGAGAACAACTCAATATGACAGATCATGACGACTAAATCGGATCAAGGGGGTGCTGATGCACCAATGCTCAATTGGAAGTAGGGTGCAATGACGACGACGAGAACACAAGGAGGATATGAGCACAAGACGACATAATGTCTCGTCGAAAAGTTCAACGTCTTTTCCCGCGAGAAAGAGCATGAGGGCACAAGATCCAGGTGGCCGGCATCCTTGCACACCACCCTGCGGTGATCGTCGGTTTTACAGCATCACGACAGCTTCGCCTCATGGCAACCAAAGAAGCTATGACCATACTGTATGCGTCCAGTCCGTTTCCCGACGCATGCAAAACGGGTCGTCCCAGGGCCACCCCGCACGGGTGCAACCACGCGACGAACCGGGTTTTGCGCGGACCGCTGCCATCGATTTACTAGTCAGGTTTGACTGTTGGCTGCTTTCAACTGTGCCTGGAGCGAGCGTAAGGAGGACCCATCGCCGACGAGAGTTAACCCACCACTGACATCGACGGGAGGTTAGCTCCGACGCCCATGGCATGTGTTTCAAACCGTCGTCGACCTACCTCCTTTGACTGACCCTCACTGTCAAGAGTTGAAAATGAACGGATACTCGGTAACAAGCCCGGCTTTCCATGGCTGAGAGAACAGACAAGATGGATGGAGCTAGGTGAGAATCCGCCAACCAGAGCTCAGATCGAGATAGCTCGAGTTGCGCGCTGTCTCGCATGGTTGAGACATTGAGCCACGGGTACCTGCCCGTGCCTTGTCGACATTGCAATCCGGGTGGAGGGGTCTTGATGTCTCAACGAATAGGCCATGGCCGCGATGACTGCATATATGCATATGCATTCTGCATTTTGCCTTGTGCATTCTGCAGTGTGAGCTGATAATGGTTGGCGTCGTGGGTTCGGGCGGATCAACGAGGTGGGATTGCACCGAGCTGAGCATCGAGGCGCTGACAGCTGACACCCTGTACAGCAGCTGAGAGCAGCTGGTCATCGTACTAGGCCCTACGAAGCCCTACGGAAATAAAGAGTCACGGTGGCGAGGCTGCCGCCCTTTGGCCAAGAGCTTGTTGCGGGCATCTACGGCACGGACGCCATCAGTTCTGCAACATTCTGTGTAACCAACCTACCTCCAATTTCAGCAACTCGGACCATCCCTGCTCATCAATGTCTTGGCGAGGTCCCCTTGCTCCAAGCCAATGGAGTCGCTTTCTTCCTCCGGACGGATATTATTGCTTATGCACCTAGTATCTAGATGAGCAGACGGCTAATCTCATTGATCTCCGAGATCTGCAGCTTGTCCCCGCAGCCAGCGACGAGCCCTGTTGAGTGGCAGGCGGGTCGAAAAAAACACCGCCGGTATCAGCACCAAAATTGTATGAGGAGAGCGGCGGTGATTTCTTCGACCCGCCTGAGTGGGTGGCAACTTGTGCGAAAATTCGCCATGAAAAGAAGAAAAACCCTTGGCCATTCCTAGCTCGGTTGGACCTGGTGCGATGCCTTGACGGCATGTTCTTGGTGGCCCTCGCCGGCCGATACCGGGGGAGATGGGGGAAGAGAGAAGGACAGAAAGAAGGGCCGTGGAATTATCACAGAGACGCCCAAAGACTTGGCCCCAAAACATTCCAAGCTGGAAGGGCAGAGCAGAGCAGTGAATGTTCTAGCGGCACACGAGGGGCACGGCAGACACGGACGGGTACGGGCGCGGCCATGGCCATGGCCATGGGCACGTGTTAACCACAAGTTGACAGCATGTTTTCCGAGCCGTCGATCATGCCAAGGTCTGGAGAAAGGTGTGAGACCTGTCTCTCAGCCTCTGAGCACGGCGGCAATTTTGGCGTTGCGCCTCCATCTGCGCCCGCGTTGCGCCCCCGCGCCAGCAATACCCATCCCCAGGAGGCTCTATCCCTTTTGGTGCTCCTCATCGACTCTTAGCCCTACATGGGGCTCCTCACCGGTGAGCCCAACCCCCCTTGACGGCAGCGGCTTTGGCTGTCTTGTGTGATGTTGGTTGGACTAAACAAGGTTGGTTGCTCTTGACAGTGGCTAGCTCCTTTGAAGGGTATTCCGAAACCAGCAACTGTCATCTCTCTCACACTTCCTGTCTCTGTCCCTGTCTTTCCCAGGCTCCATGCATCTTCACTTGAAGGGGGGTGTCGGAATGGACAGCGCCACTTGGCATGTGACAAGTCGGATTGGAGAATGGCAAAGTGCACTGCGGCTATTGAAGCCACTCCCCGGCTCGTGACATGAAAATGTCCAAGTATTTCCCAATTCGCCAGAGACGGCAAGATACGACTCTGAATCAGAGAGCAAAGGGAAAAGCTATTTGATCTTGTTACAAAATGGAGGAATCAGCGTCTCTCTTGGTTGCCTCCAGTGAGACTATGGATCGAAGCAGGGCCTTGGCTCTCGGCCGAACACAACGAGGGTTGCGCCGCGTATTCGCACCAACAGCAATGCTTTCAGCAAGAGGATAGGCCGGTCTAATTCTGCCTAGACACGCATCCACTACCAGTGACGAAGGAGATTATGACACTTGACATCCCATGCCGCGGATGGTGAATCTAGAAAATGAGAGGCCGAGATAAGGGTAGGCCATCGGCTTTACGGGAAGAGTACCCGCTGGTTGCAATAGTAGGTCTCTCTAGAGGAGCCAATGGGTCATCAGAGGATCCAGCACGGCGTCAAGTGGGCTTAAAGCTATCAGGTTTTAAGAGTCAGGATGCATGCAGGATGATACCCGGGCGTTCATGCATGGTTGATCCATGCAGACGCGGAACTCTTTTCTGGCGACTCAGACTATTTCTCATGATGCAATCGCCTACTTGCTTTCTTTCTATCCCGCCTCTTGTTGAGGTGTTGGGTGAGCGGGTAGTGGAGGTGAGGCGATGTGAGGCGGGACAAGGCGAACCAAGTGTCTCAACTCGACTGGGCCAGGATGACATGGATGACATGGCGCCTTCTCTCCAGAGCACCCTTTTCAGAGGTCCGTTACATTCAGTTGGGATTCTTGGTCTCTGCAAGAATGATAGGAGCCATGGTGGCGTGTCGTACTGCAGAGAGGGAACTCGGGAATTTCATATCCAACAGACGCCCCGCAGGAGCCAGATGATCAAGAGAAGATACATTTGGGGGTACGACAGAGCGATTCTGAAATTCTCAATGACGTGGCCATGTCTATTAATCCAA